CAGTAGTCGCGTGATTGGGAGTTCTTGCCCTACTCTGCAGTGATATCACCTGTTAGCTAGAAAAGACTCGATTAATTTTTCTATTTGTTTCGTGCAGCCAAAATTGCTCATTTTAGACAGAAGTCCGTTATGCCAAACTCTGTCGAACGCTTCGGAGTCGTCTAAGACAGTCGCTCAGGGTACTATCATACAATTTGTTCTGCTTCATTTACATTTGACTGGTAATGCAAGGCACACACTGCGACAGGATGGCACAGGACGAGAACATTCATGAAGTTTCGTTTCTCTTTCTATAGTTTCGCATGTTGGTGCGCGCAGTAAGGCAGACAACGAACAAGCACATTCCAGGACAGGAACAGGACGCCCCCTCATAAGAAACTATGGAAAGAGAAACAAAACTTCACGACATGTTCACGTCCTGGCATATTCCCATCCTGTGCCGTCCGATAGCAGTGTGCATGGAACGTAATGCAAGACGTACACTGCGACAGGACGAGAACATGCCGGAAGGTAACATAACATGAAGTTTTTGTCTCTTTCTATAGTTTTTTTTGACGGGGCGAACTGAGTCAGGCAACGGACAAGAACAGGATGAAACTAAAGAAAAAGAAACGAAATTTCACGTCATGTTCCCGTCCTGTCGCAGTGTGCATGGAACGTAATGCAAAACGCACACTGCGACATGCCGGGACGGTAACATAACATGAAGTTTTTTTTTCTTTCTATAGTTTCTTATGACGGGGCCCACTAAGTCAGGCAACAGATAGGATCGAACGAAACTATAGAAAAAGAAACGAAACTTCACGTCATGTTTCTGTCCCGGCATGTTCCCGTCCTGTATCGTCCTGTCACAGTGTGCGTGGAACTTAAGTAGGATATTTTTCTGTTTCTATAGTTTCTTATGACTTGGCGCACCAAGTCAGGTAACGGATAGGACAAGATGTAACTATGGAAAAAGAAACGAAACTTCACCGTCATGACCCTGTCCCGACATGTTCCCGTCCTGTGCCGTCCTGTCACAGTGTGCATGGAACTTAAGTAGGATATTTTTCTCTTCCTATAGTTTCTTATGACTTGGCGCACTAAGTCAGGCAACGGATAGGACAAGATGTAACTATGGAAAAAGAAACGAAACTTCACCGTCATGACCCTGTCCCGACATGTTCCCGTCCTGTGCCGTCCTGTCACAGTGTGCATGGAACTTAAGTAGGATATTTTTCTGTTCCTATAGTTTCTTATGACTTGGCGCACTAGGTCAGGCAACGGATAGGACAAGATGTAACTATGGAAAAAGAAACGAAACTTCACCGTCATGTTCCTGTCCCGGCATGTTCCCGTCCTGTGCCGTCCTGTCGCAGTGTGCATGGAACTTAGGTAGGATATTTTGACGTTTGAGTAATCATTATTTGGGATGAACTAAAAGTTCACATTTCTAGACTTTTGTTCTGCAGAAAGTCAACTCACTATTTATGCCAATCAGGATAATAATTCCTCATCAGAAGAATACGGAAGCGCAGAAAGGCCCCATATTTTCATTATTTGTTTCTTGAATATTACTGGAGTTCTATCCTAATACCAAACCGTTATTTTTAACACCTCGACATGCATTTCGATCACCAAGTGACCATCTTCAAGAGAAAATTACGACTTTATAACTAGAAATTTTGAAATTGAACTCGAATTTTCGACAATAATCCTGAAATTTCGGCTTTAATCTTGAAATTTTAATTCTTACTTCAAAATTCCGAAATCAAAATCGAAATTTCGAGTTTCAAATTCATCAATTTCAAAAAAGAAATAAAAATGTCTAGTCCTTACACGCTTCCGTAGAAGAAAAAATACTGAATACAGAAAAAGCTTCAAAAATATAATAGACCTGACCGATATAACCTATTAGAAAATACATTTCAATGAGGGATTTCTACTTGAAAGTGTGGTTTTTGAAAACGAAAAAACGCTTCAGAATGAAAGTCACATTACTAATTGGTACTTACGTTAACAGTTGGGAAATGATCACAGAATAATTTTCAATATGATTCGAAGGGACATTCATCTCTTATGCATAGCGAAAACATATCGAAAACTACCCTGTGAAAAATCCAAAGGATTTTTCAAAACATTTTATTCTTTGTCAATTCCACTGAATCTGCAAAATCTTTGAAAGCACTACATTCGAATATTTAAATAAGGAAAAGAGGAAAGGGGAAGTTAATATGTTTACATTCGAACTTTTCAAGTTTTATATCGACGATTTATACAGGACACAGGGAGCATATTCCTTCCCGTCTTATTTCGGAGGCCAATATGTGGCTTTCATTCAATAACCATTAGTTTCTGATTTGAAATATTTCTCTTTCAGGCAGCCGTATGAAAAGGAAATTCAGAGAATTTGTAGAACTCATCGTATAAAATGAAAATATTTCAGAAAAAAAATTTGATGCAATTATCATACAACAGGTTCTGATTATTGTTTCAAAAATAGTCAATATAAGTGATAAAAGTCACTTGAAAACTATTTTGAAACTACCCAGGTGTATATAAACTGAAAAAAGAATATTTTCAGAAGAGACTGTTTTTTTTTTGGAAAAATCTTTTGGGCTTTCTACATAAATCCAGGAAAGAAAAAACTAACTTCAATAAAAACGTATTCATGAAGATACGTAGACCATAAACAAGATGGTAGAAAAAAACCCTTTCGAAAAAATCACTTTCTCATGAACATTGAGTTATATGAACATTGAATTACATGAAAAACCTTTGTTTTTTTTTTTCATTTAGTTTGTAGTTCAACTATACGTTGTTGTATTGAAAAAGAAACCATTCACAGGAACGCTACACAACGTAATATATGATAGAGTATTGATAAAAAATTTCACCCGCATCCTCACAGGTGTGTTGTACAATTTTCTTTTACAATTTATATGGAAAAGAATATAGTTTACTTGTTCTCAAAAACTCATCTCTCTTAAAAATATACCACTCTCATTCTAAACAAGATTTCTATGTACTATCATGTGACATCTCTTTGTTTAGTTGAAAAACTAATTCATTTACAATAGTAAATACATTGTCACATTATAAATGAAATAATATCAATACGAAAAAATACAAACATTCTGATTAAAAATACAAATAAAAAGTTACATAAGAAAGTCATACATAGGAGTATACTATAATTTCATTAAGAAATCCTTCAATCATCTTTTGAAGATATTTATCGAACCACTATCTTTAATTTCTTGAGAGAGGTCATTAAAACAATGTACTCCTTTATAAAATAAAGAATTATGTGTACTATTCTTTATCTTTCAACTTTTATATTGTTTCTGTTTCTGGTATTATGCCCATGTATTTCAGCCACATGAGGTAATTTATTCTGTAGATATACAGGTGAATATCCAAAACTTGATTTCAAAAATAAAAATTAGTGTTTGGTACTCGAAGAGTTTCTTCACTAGTAGCCATTGAAGGGTTTGCAACATATTTGCTATGGGCGTTATACTCGAATATTGTAAGATTATTCGCATAGCACGATTCTGCTTTTTTTTGTAGTCTGTTTATTTCATTTTGATTAAGAAAGAACAGAATGGTAGAACAATAATTCAAATGTGGAAGGATTATGGAGTTGTAGACTAATAATTTTGACCACTGGCTCATATATGGGGAACATCTAATTAAATAGTTAATTTTGTAAGCTATTGTTCTGATAACTTGATTAGCATGTTCCTTGGATTTCAAGTTGCTGTCAATAGTTACACCCAAGTACACGAATTTGTTTACCTTCTCTAAATTACTGTCATTCAATCGTAGAAGTAGGTTTTCATTCTTATGATCTCTATGTTTCCCTAATAACATCCATTTTGTTTTATTTACATTCACCTTCAGCAGATTTGCAGAGCAATATCTAGACACCCTTTCAAGACTATCGTTTAGTATCAACACACTCATGTACATCTTCACTACTAAAGTACAGTAGGATATCGTCGGCAAATAAGTGAATTCTACATTCTTCTGCTATGGTTACAATGTCATTTAAATATATGAGGAATAACAACGGGCCCAAAATAGACCCTTGAGGTATACCTATATTATTTTGCATTTTATCAGAATAAACTTCCTCTATCTTCAACATTTGCTGTCTATAGCTCAGATATTTCATGATCCAGTTTAGTGCTATTCCATCAATACCTAAGCTTTCAATCTTTCTAATCAGTCTGCATCTATCTATACAGTTTCAAATGCCCTTTGAAGGTCAGGAAGTACTGTATACTAATCCATTTCCGCACCTTTCTTCCAATCTGTTAAAACACATTGTAACACAGTTTCCCAACTATGTTTGCTCCAAAAACCCGATTGATACTCACAAAGGACCCTATTACTCTCCAAATAATCCACTATCTGTTCATATGCAGCCCTTTCCAATACCATTTCTACGAAATGATATACAACGAATGTTGTATGAAACCATGTATTATGTATACAATTCTTCGTTCAAATATTTTACATTCCATTAAGTACTTGTGATGCATTGTTTGGAACCTCTGGTATAGTAATGAATGTTACTGAAGTTCTATCCCACCACCCAACCGTTGTTTTTAACACCTCAACACGTGTTTCGATCACCAATTAATCATCTTCAAGAGGAAGATAGAACTGTTTTTTAATGTTTCTCTTGAATATGATTACTTGGTGATTGTAACATGTGCCGAGGTATTGAAAATAATGGTATGGTGTTGGAATAAAACTCCAATAATATTCATTCCATTGAATATTTTAAATATTTTCATTTCTGCTTTTAATTTTCCAAACAAATGCACTTATCGTTAAGTTATTCACTCCAGAATACATGTCCTTTCGCTATCTATCGAAATTTCCTGAGTTGAGTAATATGAATTCTATCAAGTAAAATTTGAACATCATTTCAATTCTCAAAACAATTGCTACAATAATTTCAGCTGACAAGATAGTTTGAAAACTGATAATGGAAGAAAACATGCAACTAGAAGAATGCATTCAAAATTGTAATTCATATTTTTAAAAATGGCAATAATAAATACATAATATAATAAATAGAAATTCAACTGTCGATGCAAGGCAAAGTTACTTTTCATAATTGTGTTTTCGATATAGGGTCTTCATTTCCAAAAATGAAAAAACAAATAATTCAGTTCAACTAACTATTCGTTCCGCTTTTACATTTTTTGAAACAAATGCATATCGGAAATACATATGATACATATCTACGACGGTCATTGTAATAACGTAAGCAAATTCACCTCAAATAAAAAACAAAGGTCAATGAAATTAGTACACCAAAAAGGTATAAAGCAATTAAACTTTTCTCATATCGGAGAGTATTGTTTATTGGGCTGGTACGGGTCTGGTGAGTCGATAGTTACCGAATTCCGGTAAACGTGGATTCTCGATATGCCCTTTTGTTCATTGGGAACTGGATGCATGGTGCACACCGATGACATTTCCAGTTCAAAATCACATTTCCGTGCTCTTCTCCACGATAGTTGAGCGAGGAAAACCACCGTCCACCACCACACCATTAATACTGAAAAATATAACAGATAAAAAATCATTTAATGTTTGATTATAATAAAATAACAACTTCCTACGAAACTCTTTGTGTTTTTTATTTCAATAATTTTCAAGAAAAGCCATAACAAACGTCACTGAACATAATACAGTTCAGTGCAAAGTAATCAGTGTATATAGTGGAAGCTGTAGAAAGACTAAAAAGAATTCACACTTTTTGATAAATCGTGCATAGCAGAGCATGTTTGGACTCATCAACATAACAACAAGCTGAGATCATCCACACTGAAGAACGCTGATTCAAGAGGAAGTTCAAAGAAGCTTCATATATGTTGTCCAACGACGCTTTCAGTCAAGCAAGCTTAGAGATGCGTAGCATTTCTGTAGAGTAGGGAGGGTGAGTGTAAGCCCACAGTACTTAGGCCACATGTGACCCATTGTACATCCTCCCGAGGAGTTATTCTCCTAGGTCCTCGTCCATCCTGTCCTTTCCAGGAAGGTGGACAGGTCACTGGGAGACATCTCCTTTATATCGGCAGGGGTAGGCCAAGACTCGCTGAACACACACTCTCTTATTGACGATAACTCCGGGCACTCGCACAGGACATGCCTGACAGTTTCATCTTCCTGTTCACACATCCTGCATAGAGGTGTGTCCACCAGCCCCATATTATTGAGGTGTTTCCTTAGTTGACAGTGGCCAGTCAGAAATCCTACTATGAGGCGTAGATTTTTCCTGGTGATTGCCAGATATTTCTTCGGCGCCAGCTTCCCAGGTTAACCCAAGGTGATCCTGGCAAGATAACATTCTTTGGTTTCGTCCCATCTCTTTAAGGATTGAGCATGGGTGTAACATTTGACTAGTTCCGCAATTGTCGAAGTCATCAGGCCGTAGGTGCCACTGGGTCCTAAAATTCTTAGTCTAGCCGCTTCCTTAGCTAAAGGATCGGCAATGCGATAACCTTCACTCCTGTCGTGCCCTTCAACCCACCTCAGGATAATGTTATTATCTACCGAGGCTTTGGCTAAATCTTGGAGACACTGTAGTACTAGCCCTGAGGTTATAGGTTGTCTGTTCAAGGCTAATAATAGGACTTGTCTGCTGTGCAGACAGAAATTCCTTTCTTGGTTAATTCTTTTGTGGCGATTGAGATACCAGCCAGTTCTGTTTGGACCACGCTGGTATTTCCTCCCATTCCCCACTTAATTCTTAGGCTTAGTGATCTGGAGTAGATCCACACCCTGAGCCTTCTTTGGTTTTTAAGCTGTCTGTATAAATTGTATCGCATTTGTATAATCTGACTCTATGTTCTGCATATGGAAACCTGTAATTCGGCGAAAAACGGTCAACTGCCGCCAAACGGTCAACTCCCGCTGAACCGGTGAAGCGGTCCTTTCCATTTATCTTCACTCTGTGGTAATTTTCATCTTTTATCTTGATTATTTCATTTCATTTATTTTATTGTATTTTCATTTCTCGTTTTATTGCTTTGCTTATATGTAATTAATATTTTAGCTACACCTTCCAATTTTTATTTGTTCTTCCATATATTTCGAATCATAATAGACAATGGAAGTCCGAACTAGTAAAATTAACCATAAAACATTGTCAACCACTTCCAAACATAAGGCATTATATTGTACCATTTCTAAACTCACCTATATACACAATGGATCCAACGAAAAAAAATCTGTTCAGGTGATCACAGTGCAAGTGGTAAATGAGTGCTCCTAATTTTGATATACATCCAAGAAGTTCACACAACAACCATGGCATGGCACAGTAGCTATTATGCTGGAAAGAAAAGAATCATTAAGTTATAAAAGAAGCATCAACAAGTTCTGCTGAGACTGAACAAGGAGTTTTATGGTCTGAAAAATGCAAAATAAATTCCATATTATAAAATCAGAAATTGAATATTTCGAAACATTCATCTCACCCAACGCAACTACACAGTAAGTTCTGCTAAATCTCGAAGGACATATGAGAAAATCAATATTTCTAAATGAAATCTTAAAACCGTCATCCCTCCCAACACACCTACACAGTAGGTTCTGGTAAGAAGCATCTGAAAGAATAATGTGTTCCCAGATATACCAACGGAATCGGAATCTACGCGGAATGTTATCTGGAATATTATGTAATTACTGGAGTTGAATTTATAAGCCGTGTACTTGAACAGTCCAAACTATCGATAATTAATCGAGTGTGACAGTGTCACTTATCAACAAAAAGTTGAAGACGTTCACCGCCTTCGTACTATATACAGCAATGCAATGGAGAATATATTGGACAAACAACAAGATTATTAGAAGATAGAATAACATCTCATAAAAGTGATTGTAGATTAAGGCCAGAAAAATGTGCTTTAAGTAATCACATAAATGAAGAAGGTCCTTTTATGGACTTCAATTCCACAAAAACACTAGCCATGGAACATATGAAATACAAAAGACTCTTCATAGAGATGGCCTTCATCTCACAATCTCCTTCATGCTTCGATAAGAAAAACTGATATAAACCATTTTAGTGAAACATATTCCTACCTGTTGCACCTGGATCAAGAAAACTTACAAAACCTTTCTAATGTTTTTTGAAAAAATGTTTAACATAGATTTCAATTTCAGCTTCAATATTATTCAATTTTCCAATATTATTTAATATTGTGAATTTCAAAAAACTAAAATATTCCAATAAATCTTTACATTAATCGAATATGACTTAGGACACCTGTCAATTTCTTTTCCATTGAGTGTTTCATGATACATTTCAACTTAGCGTTCTATGAAACTGATTTTTGAGTTGCCTCAACTGAATATATTGGCACCACTGTTATATTTGACCTTGTAAAAAACAAGCATCCATTAACTTCAATTTTCGAATATTTTTTTATTCTGTTACTGCGTCGATTTAAATTTCAACATTAATGAATTACTTTGAATATTAACTGAAATATTCGAAAGTGTTTCTATAATAATGAAGTTTAGTCTGTTAAAAAAATTGTATTGTCCACTTTGCATAAATGTTTTGTTGTACATAGATATTGAAAACTCTTTAAAAAATCACAATAAAAAAATTTAACAAATATTCTAATATTTCTTGTAAGAATCTCAAAACGTAAAAATAGTTTCATATTCATTATTGGCTTACCTACCTGTACTGACTACAAATTTTTTTTTTGTGAAACTAATGTCAATACGTAGCCAATACGTAGCCAATACATACTTACAATGATCGTTCCGAAAAACAGCAATATATTGATAATCAGGAAAGCTGCCGAATAAAACAACACTATGATAGAAATCATTCTACCTGAAAATAGAAAATTATAGTAAATTATTATGAACAGTTAATAATAATATTTTTAGTAGTGATTAGTAGAAAGCCAAAAACTTTCTTTCCCAAAAATTATAAATCGTATTTTATTAATATTGAACATATAGGCATCGGCGGCATTCGACGATAAAGACGTAAGATTCGATTCTAGGGCCACTTATTTTTCTTTTTTTTTATTAATGATCTTCCTATATACGTTGGGATTGAAATGATGATTTCATACGCAGATGACACACCTATAGCTGGAGACACTTGAACGGCAGAATAACGTTGCAGACCTTTTCGTAGCCTGGTGTAATTCCAAAAAAAAATATTGTTAATGCAAGCAAATCCGAATTCATTCAGTTTTTGGAAGAGAATCACAAAACTTAGAATGTTTTTGGTAATAATGAGTCCATCAAACCATCAGTATGTACAAAATTTTTCAGGAACTTGTATCGATCATATAATCTCAACTGGAGTAAACGTTTTGAGCATTCGTTAATAGATACAAAAAAAATTAGTATGCCACGTTACATATTGAATGAACTCTAGACAGTAAGTTCATAATTGTCATACAGGTATCAATTTTAAAACGTTTTGCCCTCTATATTATGATCCTTATCTGAAATCTAAAAATATGCAGAACATGTCAAGGGGAATAGTTGATAGGCTAGTTTTCAGTTGAAATATATCAACCCTGTAGCAGGGACGAATACAACCTCTGAACTATTGAATGGAGAGGAGGTTCAGCTACCTTTTCAAAAATACCACATATTTGACCTTTCTTTTCAATTCTCTTGAAGAAATCAAATAAAATCGTGGAGATTTTTATGTATTGTATATTTCATTGCAAGCGTTTTGCAGTAACACATAAAAAAATAATTAAAAATTATTGATCTTATCGAATGTTCGAAATGCTGTTCATTATTTTCCAAATAGTGATAAATTCTGGTCATTCCGAAAAGCTTCTACCTGAAGTTCTCTGAACACAACTGTGGTTCTCTTCTCCAAATTATCCAAATTTCGAAGCTGTGTTTGATGAACAATCGATTTCAGATGACTCTGTAGGAGGAAATCTGGAGACGATGAGTCGAGTGATCGTGGTGGCCATTCCTTGATTTTCTAAACTGATTTTCCTTCAAGTGGTGTATTATATTTTCAATCAGATTTGAGTAGAGCTCACCAGTTAGATTTTCCTTGATGAATAAAGGTCCAATGATAGTCTTTCCAAGAATACCAACCCAAGCGTCCACTTTCTGTGGATATTGTGTATGACTTTCCTTTAGTAACAATGATTTTGTTTGTTAACCTGCTCATTAAGAAAGAACACTATTTCAAAGAAGGTCTGATCTGAGCTTCATAAAGCATCAAAAGTTGGTGAAGTGTATACAGTTTTCTGGTTCAGAACAGTGTTTCAAGCTTTTGAGAAGCAGCCTTTGCAATTCCAGCGACATGATTGTGCCAAGACATATTGGTGTCTATTTTAACCCCCAACAAACGTATCGAAGCAGAAAGCGAAATTGTCTAACCTGACATTATTATATCTGGTTCAGAGGTATTTATCTTCTTGGAGAAAACCGATTCCTAGGTTTTTGTGGCATTGAATTGAACCTGGTTACTTCCACTCCAATTCGAAATCACTCATCAAGATATGCAACCTCCTGCTGCCGGTGTAGATGTGCCTTCGTAGCCAATGTCCTGGAATCCAAATGGAATGACGAGACAAGCGTGCTGTCGTCTGCAAAGCAACATATTGGATTCTTGGTTTTTTCCAATAAATCGTTGATATACAATAAAAAGAGGGTTGGAGACAATATGGATCCCTGAGGAACACCATCGTTGATGGTGAAAGTATTCGAGAGATATCCATCGATGGTCACTTGCAGGAAACGTTCTTTCAGGAAGCTGAAGAGCCATACACATATGGTTGACAAGCCCTATCATCGAAGTTTGGCCAGCAAACCCTCATGCCAATACAGTCAAACGCCTTAGAAATATTGAACGCAACAGCTCTTGATACTCCATGTTTCTCGATTGTGTTATTCCAAATATGGGTGACATACGATAGAAGGTCGCCTGTTGATCTTTGTTTCCGAAAGCCATATTGATAATAGCTCGAAATGTTGAAGCCATCCGAATATTTGAAGATATGGTGGATTACGACTTTCTCCATGATTTTTCATATCACTGATAGCAAAGCGACTGGTCTATAGTAATTTGAAAGATTTTTCTTGCCCTTTTTGTGAATAGGTTGAACGCGAGCAATCTTCCATCAAGAAGAAAAAACCCATTTCTTGTAAGACAGATTGAAAAGTCTGCAAAATTCTGGTGCGAGTTCATTTGCGCACTTTTTAAATACAATGTTTCACAACATTCAATTATTCTATCTAACTCGTCATCATAAAGCTGTTGAAAAAGTTTCATTTCATTTGGTTGGAATTTACTACAGTGCTTTTCTTACTATTTCGTGAGACATGTCTTCTTGGAGTGCCATAATGAGAAGTGATGTGGTGGATTATGTAGTTGAGGTGCCTAAAACTTCTATTCGCGCTTCCGAAACAGCCAAAAACTTATTCAGACATTTGGCAATGATAGTGTTGATGAACGCATTGTTCGACATTAGTTTGCGAACTCTGGGATGGCGGAAGAACTGATGGCAGAAACGTATTGGAAAAATCAAAATACTCAAAAAGAGGGCGACACACCATCTGAACGATCGACAGAAATCGTCACCTTTCGAGGTTTGTCCTTATGAGTTTTGCACAACCAAAACGATATTTTTTTTGGATGGGATCGCCGGGATCGCCACGTGTGATAAAAAATGGATCCTCTCGAGTACTTTCACTATCAACTCTGGTGTTCCTCAGGGATCCATATTGTCTCCAACCCTCTTTTTATATCAACGACTTAATGGTTTTGCTAACGTCATTCGTCATTAAGGTCATTCCATTTGAATTCCAGGATATCGGCTACGGAGGCACATCTTCACCGGTAGCAGGAGGTTGCATTTCTCAATGAGGATCTAGAGGTGATTTCGAATTGTGGTGAAAGTAACCAGGTTCAATTCAATGCCACAAAAACCCAGGCAACGGTTTTCTCCAATAATGTCAGGTCGGATAATTCCGTTTCCTGCTTCGATGAGTTTGTTGGGGGTTAAAATGGACACCAATATGTCTTGACACAATCATATCGCTGGAATTGCAACAGCTGCTTCTCGAAAGCTTGGAACACTGTTCCGAACCGGATAACTATACACACCTCAGCAACTTTTGATGCTTTATAAAGCTCAGATCAGACCTTCTCGTGTACGGAACTCTGCCCCAAAATATACCCTGAAGTTGCTGGATTTCATCCAGAAAAGAGCCATCAGCCTGATTAGAGACGCGAACATCACGTGCAACCTTGATAGCCTGGAATATCGAAGAAAGGTTGGAGATTTGTCTCTCTTCTATAGATACTTTCACGGGAGGTGTTCAAGTGAATTGACACATTTGATTCCACCAATATGCGATACATATCAGAAATTCGCCATGAACTGTGGCTGCTCATCGTTTTGAGGTTCAACTCAGTACACCTCAAACTTCACTGTTTAAGAACTCCTTCATCTGGAGAAGTGCGTTTATGTGGAATAAACTTCCTGAGAAACTTCTTCCAAATGGAGTCAATCTCCAGCGATTCAAATCCAATGTGACTCGCTACTTTCACACAGGCACCGCTCTAGGAGCACCTTAAGGATTTTTCTGTAGTGCTTGTGTTTTGTCCTTGAAAAAACAGCAGTGGTTGCACATCGATTGCCACCCAGACACTTAAGGCGAAAACCCACCAAAAAAGTCCATGGTTACTTCATGGTGGTCAGCGGCTGTTGTGATTCACTAAAGCTTTCTACAGCCGGGCCAAACCATCACAGCACAGTCCTGTTGTGGGAAAATCGACGAAATGTGTCCATTCCCTATTGAACGCCCCAATTGAAAACCGACCTACAAAATGTTCCCCTAGAAAAAGAGCTTGACGTGTTTTTGCAAAGTTTTAGTTTCTTTCATAAAACTATCATATTATTTATTATATTTTATAATAACATGTGCCCTAAGCAGACGCAATGAGCCAAGAATGTATGCCATCTTGCGGCAAGCCTGAATGATCTTATTATTATTAGCATTATTATGATTATTACTCAATGAATGTTAGACGGCATAGCCATATAAACAAATCAAATTCAAATCAGTAAAAGAAAAAAATCAAATAAAAAAACAATTCCTGTAATTGTCCAGGACATTTTTGAAAGCAAAATGATAAAATAACCTTCTGGGTCGTCTTGCTGATTAGCTGCAGCTTTTGCATGGAAATGTTGCCAGTCCAATCCAAGAGCTAGAGCTGTTTTTCTGCTCAGGTCATAATAATCGTCTTCCCTCCAAAATTTATCGTTTATCAAAACCACGACGAGCCAGATGGAAATCGTCTGCAATTGAAAATCACAATAAGTATGGAATATCGAACGTTAAAATTCCCCCTTACCCACACATAAAGACTCATTGAGTATATATTTTGAAGGTGGTTGATAATGTTTCGTAGTGCATTTTATCAGTTCGGACTTCCATTGTCTAATATTATATAAAACGATTTGAAATTCCCGAAAAAATCTATAATAATTATATCAAGCAGAAAAACTGATATTACAATGACATAAAATACAAACAAACAATTAAACATTGAACTATTAACGGAAAATGAAAATAAAAAATTAATAACAGAAAATGAAAATCAAAACTTAAAAGATACCAAGCCATGTTACTTCACGACGTTTCGATTGTTAGTATCCACAATCGTTTTCATAGGTCATACAAGTACTTTCACCCATCCCCTCCTCCCTCTCACCGCTTCATCGGTCACAGCAGGAGCTGACCGTTTGGCGGGAGTTGGTCGTGTTCCGCTTGATTATAGGTTTTCATATGTTGCGTATCTCTACGCTAGCTTGGCTAAATGCATTGTTGGACAACATATATTCGTGCTTTCGAGCTCTGTAATATAAAGTGAGGTCTCGAGAAGGAACTAGGCATCATCAAAACTGACCTTCAACGGAATGTCTACTTCAAAGTGAGGGTGGAACAGGCTTAAGCTAGAAGAAAATAAGTGTTCCTCAAGGAAGAGAAGCCGCCACAACCAGTACTTGTACTTACCTACATCACAGGATTGTCGGAAAGGATAGGAAAAAATGGGTCCAAGTATAACATCAGAACCTTCCTCAGATCTGGGAACACTATCCGTAGCAGTCTCACGAAAACCAGGCCACCAAATGCGGACTGCGATTCCAAGAATGACATTTACCGGATACCCTGCGAGTGCAGAGAATCATACGTCGGTGAAACTATGAGGCTATTGAAAGTTCGCATTGCCAAACACAAGAAACACACACAGCGAGGAGAAACCAGCAAATCAAGAATAGCAGAGCATGTTTGGACTCATCAAAATAACATCAAGCGATCTCAAGCTTTATCTTCCACAAGAAGGAACACTGGTTTAGGAATAAATTCAAAGAAGCCACATATATGTTGTCTAACAACGCATTTAGCCAAGCTAGCGTAAGGATACGCATTATATGGAAACCTGTAATCAAGCGGAACACGACAACTCCCACTAAAACCGATGAAGCGGAGAGAGGGAAGAGGGATAGGTGAAAACACTCGAACGATCTATAAAGAGTCAGGAGTCGGAGGAATAAGTTCAGTCATTACCCGAAGACGATTATGGATACTAACAATCGAAACGTCTTGAAGTAACTTGGCTTGGAATCTTTTAATTTTTAATTTTCATTTTTTGTTGATAATTTTTTATTATCATCTCGTGTTAATAGTTCAATTTTTTGATTTTTCATTGTAATTTCAGTTTTTTTGCTTCATATAATTGTTATTTTCCAGCTAATCTTTTTAATTTTTATAGATTCTTTCAGGGATTTCAAATCAATTTATATCGTATTAGACAGTGGAAGTCCGAACTAAGTAAATGCTCAGTGAGTTTCAATTTCGAAGGAAATTGAAAGTTCAAATTTCCATTTCCCAATAACTGTTAACAAATTTGAATTCTGATGAAAGATTGGAATGTTAAAAATAGTAGAACCGAATTACTTAGATAAATCCTTGAAAGTATAACCATAATTGAATATGATGTTGTTACCTGAAATGGAAGAAATTAATGATATTGGTAACAAAAAACTATCTTTAACACTAATGATCATGTCAATGAAATACATAATATGAAAGTGAAAGAGAGTAATACTGAAAGATATTTTAAACAAAGCACCCATATAAGTGAAATCAAAGGATGAATTGAATTAACAACACAGAACCAACATTCCTAGCAGTTCACTATTTCAAAGAGAAGTTCAAAGAGATGCGTTCAATTTGAACAACTACTCAGTCAGCCAGTCCAGTGCTGATATTAGCAATTAGCAAGTAGAAATTTTTTCTCAAGCGGTCAAATGGACTTCTTTTTTTGGTTTTTCACAATTTCTACTCATTGTTTTGTTTTGTATATAACTTACATTAAACTTTGTGAATCAACATTTTTTTCCACTCCAAGTTATTAATTCATTTTCATTTTATAATTTTGATATTATTTCCATGTTTGTTCTCAACTGCCTCATCGGATAATTCAATTTCAATTCTGGAAACAGTTATTGGGAAATAAAAGTCCGGGCCATTGAAATTCAATAAGAAACATTGTCAATAAATGATTGTTTGAATATGAACACTTAAAAAATAACTGTGAACAGCTCATAGACAAAACTCTTACTTTTTCTTTCACTTTAAGGAATTTTCTCTAAGGGTATTCCTTATAGTAGTAGTATAGTAGTAGATCCTTATAGTAAGATAATTTTCTGTTTCACGCATTCGTCAGTAGGCAATATCCCTTTCAAAATTCAAGAAAAGTGCCATCAGAAAGAAATTATTTTCTTTCTCAATCGGACTTCAATAAAACCCCAGATAGTTGTTGGTTCACAGATGGATCAAAAACACTTATAGGTTCTGGTGCAGGTGTTTTAAGTCGCAGACCCAGGACAGAGATATCAACCTGCCTAGGAACCTATGCGACTGTATTTCAAGGTATTCATGCCATTAATGCTTTTGGAAGAATCCAACCTCATACAAAAGTCAATAAAAATATTCTCGAACAGTTAAGCGGCGTTGGAAGCTCTTGGCCCCTACGGAACAGCATCCAAATTGGTAGCAAATTGCCAAAAATTACTCTCCTCGATTGTCTTCGGTCTGGATTTCTAACCATACTGGTCTGGAAGGCAATGAGGCTGCTGAATCTCTTGCAAAGGAGGGACCATCGGACCAGAACCTGTCATTGGCATTGCTTAAAGCTTTGCCAAAGAAACATTGAACACCTGGATGGCAAGAAGATGTATGTACTTCTGGCAGAAGCTTCCAGGATTGGCTCACTTCAAGGCGTTTATTGACCTTTCGAAGCTTAATATATCAAACATTTGTTGGACTACAATAGGGATGAACTACGATGTCTTACATGTCATTTGAATCATCATATGCAGAGTCTCGGACTGTCGGGAGACAGTGTGTGTCGCCTCTGTTTGGAAAATGATTGAATAGCAGAACTCATACTTGCCTGCCCGGCTGGGAACCGAATCAGGTCTTCAGAGTTTGGCAGGGCCGTACTCTTACCATCTGACCTAAAAGACCACTCACCGTACAAACCAATCAGCTTCGTTAAGAAGCTGGGTTTATTGTGAATTGGTGTGAGCCACAATAAACCCTTGTGGGTTGCGGTGGGGGGTCGAATAGACCCACTAACTTTTGATCTAACCTAACTTAACCTGATAAAACCCCAGTTTTAAAAAAATGTATTATTTTAGAGGCCGTCACACAAATTTCAAATTTATTATACTCTCTTAGGTCAAATTGACACATTGTCACATTATCACTACAATCTCTAAATGCTGCAATTCTATTATAAGCAAAAATCCGTAAATTCATCATAACGGTTCGTGAGTTAGTTTTTCATCACCTTTTATTCAAGTGAAAAATGAAGAATGATTACTTCAGATTTGAAATATTCAATTCTCAATTGAAAAATCAATAATTCTAATTCCCGATTCATTTTTTCGAATAACCTTTTTCATTTTAATCAGTATTTTTTCGTACTTCGTACTTACAAGACCAATTGAAGCAATTATCCTACAAGCTATCGTTAAATCAATCATCGAACAACAAACATACTTTGACACTACGAACTTCATGTTTATAATTTTCAGAATTCTAGTTTTATAATTCAAATCAAGTATTAACATCAACACAGTATTTATTTCGTGGACAATACCAACTGAATATCAACTTCGTCTCATTTTTTTGGTGGAAAAGAAATGAAGAATTACCAACCAGTGGCGTGACAAAACAGGTATCCGATTAAGCATCGAATGCTAAATTTTAATGAATTCACTGATTTTCATTCCCTGAAGAAACTTGAGGATTGACTAACTGCCATTTACTGGTTGTACAAAATTAGACCTCAATCAATTTGTTCAAAACTTATGAGCTCTCTCTATTAGATGTTTATGAAATATCACTCGTTTCTAACAATAATTAAGAAGAATAATTATAAGTATAACGTTTATTCGACATTTTTGAAGTGATTATGTAAATTGTTCACAATAAATGAAAATCTATGGAAAGTCATGACCACTCAAAAAATATCGTATTATGTGAGTTTATTTCAATTTTAAATGAATTAGTTATTATGTTATGTTTATACAGGGTATAGAATAAGTGAGAACTTAAGCTTCAGATAGAGTTTGAGAGTGACTTTTTTGAAGTGAATGAATGTAAAATAATAATGACACTGGAGTTGTAGAAAGTCATCTGACCATCATTCAAAAAACACTTCTTTGTGAGATTTTCACTGAACAGTTTTTCAAAAACGCAACACGTGTTTCGCCATACAATAACTTCTTCTTTACTGTAAAAACACTCCCGAATCTTTATGATTCCTTGAGTTCAATAAATAGAACATACATGGTTTTCGAGTGAAACATTGCTATAGGGAAGTTTCCGTTCTTCTATAAAATTTTAATCATCATCAATATAGTCGCAATTGTGTACCATCAGTATGGGCATAGTCGAAGTAAACGATATTGTGCACATTTAAAGTTGGCGGCACTCTCGAAAGCCAAAAAACCAATACATAGAAATGAATCTGAAGCGAACTAGTCCACGTGGACTGTACACTTGGCGGTTCGTATTTGATAACTTTTACTAACCGAGTTTTATGATTGGCTGAAGAGTCATAAAATTAAATTTGAAGTAATGATGCGGTGTCGATGAGAAATTGGGAAATGGTTATCGCCATCGTGTTATCAATGTTCAGTTCAAGAACTGATCGCGATTTCAGTGTTAAAATTCGATATTGGTGCAGTCATAATTATTTGAAATGTTTGTTATCTGTTTGAAATGTGGCGTCCTTGGACAAGTACTTGAGAATATTGCTGAAAAGTATGGACACACCATACTGAGACTTCTCCCCTATTTTTGTGTTTTCAATTATATCGAGTTGATTTCGGAAAAATTGAAACAAAGCATCAGGCGTAAAATAATTTTCCAAAATTTGATAAGGTGATAGAGCTAATTGAAAAAAAAGTATCTTGTATTACCGAAGAAGACTGGCAGAAAAAGAATAATGAAAGTAATTTTAGTTGAAAAAAGCACGCAGTACGCCACTGGTGATGGTCTTTTCCTTTCACAATCCAGAATATTAGTGTCGTGCGTCCCTATTCTAAATCCCTGTCGTCGAACCTAAGAGGATGGAATCCACTAAAAGTTTTCAACTGTACGTATTTTCCATTTGGACTAAATCCAATTTTTGGTCGTCCATTATTCAAATACGTAGATTTATGTACGGCGTCGGGATATAAATCCACTGAAAATACGAGAAAATGGTTCAGTTCGATCCTAATTTATAGCTCGAAACGCTCGGGTGCCAACCAAATTGTTACAAAACTCAATGTAAACTCACAAAGACAGGATAGAGGTCCATTTTTGGTTTACTGCCTTGGTATTGCTCTCTCTTCGTCATGTCGGGAATATAAATCAGCTGATTTTCATCGAAGCAACCCCGATTGTTTTGTTTTGAGTACATACTAGTAAGTCAGCTCAACTGATTAATACAATAACAAACATTATTACAGTAAGGCTCTCGGCAACAAAATTCATATGATAAATTCCCACTAATCATATTTCAGGGTTAATAATAAAACCCAATTGGAAAAAATGGTACAAAATATGCTAGGTTCAATGGATAGGCTGAAAAATCACATACATATTTGAAAAATCTACCCATTTCCAATCGTCCAATTTGTTCACCTCTTCAAAGTCTCCGGAAAAACTACAAATGTTCCTCAATTTGGGTTATTACAGCAAATGCAAGTTTGAACAAAATAAAGTTGAGTTTAATTCATGAGTTTTTCAAATTCACTTCAAAAAGTATTCAAATTGATGTTTCAAATGTTGGGTTTTAAATTTTAAGGGGATTTGTTTCTAATTCACATATTGGCAACAGCGCCTATATCAAGTTGGAATGATTTATACGTACCTAGATATTCTACTTTAAAAAAGAAAAATTATCTTTATAAATCAACAATTAAGGCAAAATATAAATTATAGTTCAATACCACCTCCACAAGCCACATAAACAACAGTTGTTTTGTTATTTATTTATATAGAGGAAGATAAGTTAGGTGCACAAAATGGCATATGTCACAGAATGTCTCGGAACTCGGAACATAAGTAAACAGAACAGCACGCCTCTGAAATATGTCATACAGGTAACAGATTCATTGTCCTTTATTAGCTATAACCGATGTTGCCAAATGGTCAAATAGAAACGAATCCTTTTAAATGTTGTATGCATGATTTCATTCCTCTTTTTTAAGTATTTTAATAATTTTTTAAAGAAAAGGGTTGAAATGATAAGTTTGAAATGCGTTGTTTTAGAGCTCTTTTATGAAAACTACTTGATTTTCGTCAGGAGGAACATTCCCCATTATAACGAAATGTTTCTGTCTCTTTGTAATATTATTTTCAGTCAAGGTGTCTTCGAAATTGGTGGAAAGATCGACAATTTTCTGAAGTGATTACTGATATATTGAAGCAATTTTTGGGTATTTTTTCAGGCAGTACCTTCTCAAAAGTTTTCTCAAGTGTCTCCAGGTGCATTTTCCCGTTATTCTTTATATTTCTTATCAATTCTTTTCTACATCCGGTCCCTTACTAATAATTTTGATACTCTAGAGTTGGTTAGGAATCAACGGTCTCAGTTAACGGTCAATATCTGGCACACTCGTTATTTGTTTGAAGGTGGTTGACAATGTTTCGTGGTGTATTTCATCAGTTCGGGCTTCCATCGTCTAATATAAAAAAATCCCTGAAAAAAAAATAAAAAAATTAACCAAAAATAACAATTTTATTAAAACAAAAAACTGAAAATTACAAGGAAATAACATACAAGCCACAACCAGAAAATAAAAAATTGAAATATATAAATCAAAATTAAAAGATTCCAAACCAAGTAACGTCACTTCGGTTGATTTTTTTATTTTTTTTCAGGGATTTCATATCAATTTATATTATATTAGACAATGGAAGTCCGAACTGATGAAATACACTCGTTATTGAAACTTGTCACTTGAAATATAATCAATCTAGGCCTAATCCCCAGTTTTTTTTCATGTCCTCATTTTTATTTAAAGAATTATCTGCTCATTTAGTCTGATTGCAATCGAATAATATCTTCGAAATATCACCAGTATAATTGCACTGTAGCTTGAAATTAACTCAAAAACTATTCCGAGAGTTCTGAAAAGAAACGTATGGTAACCAGATCACATTCAGCTAGGCCAAGCTCTACGGCCTGGTAATTACCATCCAATATTGATGTTTTATATAATACTCTGTATAGGATTCCACGACCGGTGTCTAACAAATTCTCCGATATTTTCGGGTTCATTAGCCGTAGTTCGCAGGTTTTTACACTTGACGTTTCGTTTTCTACTGCAGCAGATATTATCCAAGGCGATGCGGCAACTACCGAAATTATCTACCTTTCTGCGATGCCCAAACCGAAAATAATAATAATAATTTTTCATCAAATATTTTACTCACGAACAAGGCAAATTTTTCACGAGATGCTATTATAAACTTTCACAATAACCATTTTTGAGCCAACAAAAATCCCTACGTAATTTATGAAAGGCATTTCCAGTAACAACTTTTGGTGAAAGTTTGGGTAGGAGTTATTTGTAACTACCTTATTGTCCCATGCGCCATAGAGCTGCAGTCCAGTTCAATGTTCTTGCTCCTCAGCTCGTCGACATTATTTTTCCAAATTACTGCATTGAAATCAATCAATCACTCAAATATACTTTATTGTCTGAAGAACTACATCTTGTAGACAAAGTCATAAATAATATGTAAGATTCAAAAATCTACATAAAAAAAACATACAACAATTTAAACAAAATACAATAAACATAAGCTAAAAGTGTGAATTACACTGAGATATTCAGCTGGAAATAACAAGACATAGAAATAAAAGTTAAGATTCAAGTGCATCGTCAAGATACTCCTGAACTGAATAATAGGCCCTATCAACAAGTAGCATTTTAACTGCTTTTTTGAATTTGTTAAGCACTATAATTTCTTTAATTCGGGCTGGTAAGTGGTTAAACAGTTTGATCCCGGTGAATATAATTGAATCCCTAACATGGGAGCTCGCAGGAATAGGCAGATCTATGTTACTATTGTGGCTACGAGTATTATATGAGGAAGGGGGAGATTCACAAGAATAATTTTTTTTTATCAAGCAAATTGATTCCAAGATAAACAGGGCAGCTACTGTTAAAATACCGTGAGCTATGAAAAGAGGTTTGCATGGATCCCTGGGAGCTGCTTTGCACATATATCGGACAGCCCTTTTTTGGAGCACAAAAATCATTTGAAATAAATCTCTAGACCAGACTTCCCAGAAGGCAATTCCATATTTAATATGGGGATCTATTAGAGCGAAATAAGCTGTTCTTGAATGGGAGTAGCCTAGTTCTCTAGAAATCACTCTTAGTGCATAGCAACCTGAGACAAACTTCTTGCTTAAGTTTATTGTGTGATTTTTAAATTTCAGTTTATCATCAATGTTCAACCCTAGAAATTTATAAGCTCTTGTTCATGTAACACCTGTACCTGATGTAAATGACTTGGGAAGTAAAATAATTGACAATTGCAGTGTCATAAGGAATACTCCAGGTATTTCTAAACGTAACAGATAATCAATGACAAATCGATTGCAGTCGTATATTTCATCAGAAGGTGGACATTTTGCTCATTTACCTCAAGTACAAAATTGTTCATTTGTTATCTTCGATTTTAATTCTAAGTCGACTTTATTTTGTTGCAAACGAAGCCAGATATGAAGAAAACACATGAGACAAAAATGTGTATTTTTAGTTGCTTGAAAAATACCAAGAACAGGGCAGCGACTTCCTTTTTTATATTTCTTTATAATATCATTAGGCGATTTTAGAGCAATTTTTGTCTACGAATTCCAATGAAACCATAGCACTGCCGAAACAGTCTGAAAAGTTAATCAGTCATTTGGTAATAATAGTGTTAATGAACTCACTAATCGACGTTGGTTGCAAAATTTCGTTCCATAGAGTTTAACCTCGAATATGAGCTCCAAAGTGATCGACTTACAATAATCCAGGACGAGGATTTGAGGACCCTGCCGTTTTGAACGGTTTAAAATATATTGGAAAAGTCAAAAATCGCGAAAAGTAGGTGCCCCACGATTTGAACGATCGACAGAAACTGTCACGTTTCGAGGTGTGTTCTTCGATGCTTTTGCATCGGAGAACACATCGATGCTTATCGGAGGTTGGACTCCGATAAGCCATCCAGACACAGTCCAGAAGCGAAAACTCACTAAAAAAAAGGTCATGATTACTGTATGGTGGTCAGCGGTTGTTGTGATTCATTATAACTTTCTGAAACCGGATAAACCATCACAGAAGAGTCTTTTCATGAGGAAATCGACGAAATTTACCAAAAATTGGGTCAGCAGTAGCTGAATTGGTTAACAGAAGAATCTCCAGACCCCTTATTGACCGACTAATATCTTGTCAAGCACTTCGGTATCTTTCTCATCGGTAGAACCTTCGCCAATCAATGGCAGATAAAAACAGCCTTCGTCGACTGCATCAAATCTCAAGTAATCAGTTTTTATGCTGACGGAACTATTCAGCTTGTGTTACATTGGCAAAAGTACACTAATTCAAATGACGATTATTTCGATTGAATTAAATAAGTATTATCTGGGATATTACAGTTCAAAGTAGACTAAAAAAAAACGGACAGAGCTTTTTAAACAACCTAATGCTTCAAATATCTGCAATAACGTTCAACTGAATTGGTTCAAGGATACTTATGATATAAAATAAAAACCATTTTTTCCATTTTTGAGAAACACCCTGTACAATATCATATAGTACGATGGAATAAAATAAATCTGTGAAAATAGCTTCCATTCATATTCACATACCCCACTTTGAATGATTTTCCCTCATTCTGAAAGTCTTGCAGAATGAATTGGTAGGATATTAGTTCCACCGTGGTTTAGCCACGTGCAACCACTCTAGCGGATTATAGACCAATACACAAGACATCGAAAATATAAAATTCTGATGCCTGATCGAGACCCCTAAATATGCAGTTGATTCAGGATTTAATGGCTCTAATCTAGACAAATCGACCGTTCAATGCACAAAAGAAATGTAAAAGGGAATTTTGATATAGTCATTTGTCCCTTCCATTTCACAAAAGCGAGTATCCCTCTCATTGAGGAAATTCCGAATTGATGTTAGTTTCTACTACTAGTAGGAAATACTTTTGACAAATCACAGGAACATTTTGAAAAAGGTTTTGCTACTTATAAAAATTATTTTCTTTGATATCACTTATCTTCTGCGTTCATTTAATTATTTTTAATGACATTTTGTGAGTATGTGAATTTAACAATAAGAATATCTGTAGGAAACTGAAGGTATGAGTTCCCATTCAGTGCTGCTTAGGAGTTATGGAAGACTCGTTCTATTGATGACTTATTTATTTTGTAGAAATTCATGTTGAATATAGAATAAAGAAAATACTTTTGTCTAGTTTCTACTGTGTTTATTTATTCGTTACGACCGGTTTCGGCTTATAAGGCCATTTTCAAGTAACTTGAACGAATAAATAAACACAGTAGAAACTAGACAAAAGTATTTTCTTTATTCTATATTCAGTTATGGAAGATTACTCCAAAGCTCTTGTCGTTGAATTCGTATAGACATATATTAAACTGAAATAAAATAAGTCTAACCACTGTGTGGTGGAGAGATTCGAACCTTCTATGAAAATCTAAAAAGAAAACATGTGAATATACTTGCACAAATATCCGTCGTGATATCAGCCGGGAAAATAGTTGTTTTCAACGAACACTCAACAGATACTATGTTATAGGAATCTTGGGAGAGGTGCATGTTTGAAATAATATTCTAAGTAATCATGTACCATCTCAAAGGAGGCACTGAAGGAATGACGAAAAGAGTGTGCAGCTCATAGACAAAAACATCCTGCTCCATCTAGATGCCGCACATACTTCTCGTGGCAAATATTACTTCAATCTCAAATGTATTAAACAAAAGTGATTTTTTGTGGAGGATATCTGAGTCTTTCTATGAAAAAAAAAAGAAATTGCAATGAAAAACTCCATACAGGTGTACTTCTGGTAAGTATTCCATCCAATATACCTCTTCGTTGTGGCAGTAACTCCGGCTCACATCAGTTTGGAGAGGAAGAAATGTTTGTTATCTAATATTTGTTACTTCTTCCTCCTTTAAAAAAATTTTTAAGCGCCTCTTCCTGTTAATTACGAAGCAGAATGTGTTTTGAATAATAAATTGATGGATGTAGCCGTTATTACTACGTAGTGGGAGATCATGATGAAAAGAGAAATGAAAATTTCTGTTTTTTACCACTTTCATTTGTAACTAACGTTACTGCAGTTTCGTCCTATATGGACATTCTCCAACTTGAACAATAAATCCTTTTTTTTCACGAATAACAAAATATGTATAATTCAACATCCGAAGTTACAAATAGTAGGTACATGAATTTTTTACAACACCACAGCATCACCAGCAAACCCCTTAGCATCCAGTCCTGTTACACAAAACGTAGCTCCGTCATCAGGTCCAGGTGTAATACCCACTTGGCCACTAGTTACGAATAACTCGTCCAAATTGGCACCTCCAAAACATGCTGAAATCTGAAAACGCCAAGCGAAAAAAATCACTTTAATCACATTTTCTCATTCAGTTTTTTCTCTAAACATTTGTTTGAAAGCTGTCCACAGTTTTTATATGAAGATGGGGGAAAGTAGAAAGCTAAAACTTTTTTTTCCCGAAAAAATGATATATCTTACAATTTTAGCTGGTAAAACTATTGTGTCCAGCAAAGTTTCCGGTCTCCTAGGATCAATTTTGATATCTCTGGAGCCCCATACTGCTATATACAAATTTCCATCAGTATCGATAGTCATTCCATCAAAAACCATACCTTCAAGCCCATTTTTACTCACGGTGAAGATTGGTTTACCGTTGGATAATACTCCTTTCTCGATATCAAAATCGTATTCATCAACCGTTCCAGTTCTTGAATCGATGTAGTAAATTTTCTTCAGTTGAACGTTGAAAGCGATCCCGTTGGCTATTACTATATCTCCAAAATGTGAAGTGATTTTCTTGTCCTGGAAACTGTAGAGCGTACCTTTTCCCAGCGGAATATTGGCAATAACTACTGGAGGTCCACCCATGATTCCAGTCCATAATCTTTCGAAAGGGTCACACTTTCTATCGTTGAAAACGTTCTTCTTGATGTCTTTATCGACTTCGTACAATTTCTCAACTTTAGAGGGTTTATCACTTTCTCCATCCCAAAGTAACAACGACCAGCTCGCGCTCCAGACTTATAACGAATTGATCGGTTTTTTCCTTTCACCGGGATTATGATCGATACGTTTTTTCCAACTTAGGCGTTGTTACTTCTTCCTCCTTTAAAAAAATTTTTAAGCGCCTCTTCCTGTTAATTACGAAGCAGAATGTGTTTTGAATAATAAATTGATGGATGTAGCCGTTATTACTACGTAGTGGGAGATCATGATGAAAAGAGAAATGAAAATTTCTGTTTTTTACCACTTTCATTTGTAACTAACGTTACTGCAGTTTCGTCCTATATGGACATTCTCCAACTTGAACAATAAATCCTTTTTTTTCACGAATAACAAAATATGTATAATTCAACATCCGAAGTTACAAATAGTAGGTACATGAATTTTTTACAACACTACAGCATCACCAGCAAACCCCTTAGCATCCAGTCCTGTTACACAAAACGTAGCTCCGTCATCAGGTCCAGGTGTAATACCCACTTGGCCACTAGTTACGAATAACTCGTCCAAATTGGCACCTCCAAAACATGCTGAAATCTGAAAACGCCAAGCGAAAAAAATCACTTTAATCACATTTTCTCATTCAGTGTTTTTCTCTAAACATTTGTTTGAAAGCTGTCCACAGTTTTTATATGAAGATGGGGGAAAGTAGAAAGCTAAAACTTTTTTTTCCCGAAAAAATGATATATCTTACAATTTTAGCTGGTAAAACTATTGTGTCCAGCAAAGTTTCCGGTCTCCTAGGATCAATTTTGATATCTCTGGAGCCACATACTGCTATATACAAATTTCCATCAGTATCGATAGTCATTCCATCAAAAACCATACCTTCAAGTCCATTTTTACTCACGGTGAAGATTGGTTTACCGTTGGATAATACTCCTTTCTCGATATCAAAATCGTATTCATCAACCGTTCCAGTTCTTGAATCGATGTAGTAAATTTTCTTCAGTTGAACATTGAAAGCGATCCCGTTGGCTATTCCTATACCTCCAAAATGTGAAGTGTTTTTTTGTCCTGGAAACTGTAGAGCGTACCTTTTCCCAGCGGAATATCGGCAATACTACTAGAGGTCCACCCATGGTTCCAGTCCATAATCTTTCGAAAGGGTCACACTTTCCATCGTTGAAAACGTTTTTCTTGATGTCTTTATCGACTTCGTACAATTTCTCAACTTTAGAGGGTTTATCACTTTCTCCATCCCAAAGTAACAACGACCAGCTCGCGCTCCCGACTTATAACGAATTGATCGGTTTTTTCCTTTCACCGGGATTATGATCGATACGTTTTTTCCAACTTAGGCGTTAGTATGTTTTTTAGTTGCAGGCACGTATCTGTGGATGCTGTATCCGTTAATATCAACGAAATACAGGGTTTGTGTGACTGCGTCCCAACGGGGCGCCTCCCAGAATTTGAAGTTTCCACAAATTTTTTCTATTTTTGGAACCATGTCGTTCCAACGCCATTCTCAACTTCATTGAACTTCGAATAATGCGATGAAAAATTATCGACTTATATAGACCAGATTCGGTTCGGTTCGCTTGTTCAAGTTTGAGAATGTATCCACGTAATGACGTGGATATTCATTTGATACTTAATGAAGTATGAAATGATTTTCCACTTTCCACACTTTATATATAAAACACATAAGTTAGGTTTTCAGTTTACCTATCTAGGAAGATGCAGTATGGATAGAAAATGAGAAATTTGTCTTTCATGAATTGAAGAAACTTCTTACAAATTTCAGTTAATCACTGGATGTTTGATACCGATTCATAATCATGTATAAATTGGTTTTTGAAAAGAAGTTTTAAAGTAGGTACGGCAAACTTTGACTCAAAAATCACTGCAAAACCTCAACCCTCAAAGCAAAAGTATCATCTCCCAAAACGTTTCAAATGAGAATGTGGCGGGGAGGAAGGATCAGTCATTGAAATGGACTTTCGGTTTTTTCCCCATTGCTAATTCGCTTTTGAAATTCACCCACTAATTCAGAAAAAATAGAGCTTTGAACCGCCAAAAATACAAAAATTCAAAACATTTTACTTCAGAATGTACCTCTATACGGATTATCTTCTAAAAGTTATCTCACATTTTGAAGCACTCGCAGTGTCCCTCTCATCATAGAAAGCCTATTCACGGTAATGCGGGGATCTGCCATAATGCACCTCCTTCCTCAGCTACCCGTGGAACCCTTCATGGAGCATACAGTAACCAAAGACTTCAACTCGTCGGACCCTTCATACATCATGAAGTGATCAAACACTCTGGTCCTAATCCTACTAAATGACCCCAACTGTTTTTCCTGTAACATCTGATCGAGAGCAAATGTACCCCACACGATGGAATCGATTAACTCCTCCAAGTATTCAATAAGAATGACGCACACCTCCAATTCCACCGTTGAACCGTTGAAAATGCAGTGTTTCATTTATCGCTACAAAACCTGTGAAAAGGGAGGACAAAACTCGTGGTACACTTACCAGCTGGTCCCAACCTCGTCTTAGGAATAAAAAACAGAGTATCCGTTGTATCATTTCACCTCGCGTACCTACACCAAATCTTCAAAAAAATTCAAACAATATATGTGTATATGTTTGTATAAGTATATATGTATACCCATTAATTTCAAATTTTGTATCAGGAAACATGTATTCACCTACTTATCGAGTATCTTATTATTTATTTGTACATGTATTTTGTATCTTTTTTTTTTAATTTTTGGAATTTGGAATAAACAACATTATTATTATTGCAATGAATATATAATTTGCATTATTATTTATTTGTACATGTATTTTGTATCTTTTTTTTAATTTTTGGAATAAACAACATTATTATTATTGCAATGAATATATAATTTGCATTATTAAATCGTGATTTAACGATCTTCCATCGATCAAGTGAGTCAACGTTCGGCATATATCAAACGCCTACATTCAATTGAAATGTGTTACGTGTTTCGGATAAGCGGGATTGTGGGAATTAGTAGCACATTAGCTTTCCATTAGAGTGCCCTTTTGGTCCCTTGACCCCAAATACACTAAAAGTGATTGATATCCCTAAATCCGCCATTCATACGACGTTATGTGGAGGGCTTATTCTATTCCACAAATTATTTGGTGAAACATACAAAATCAGCAGGCACTGTACAGGGTGCATCGAATGGAAAATAAAGTAAGGATCTATTACAAATTTGGTCTTTCAACAAGGGTATTCACGAGTGATGGCTATTCAGTCGAAGTGTAAGCATCAATTCAAATTTAAATATATCGCTAATTAATGTGTAACTTTTATAAATTCGCTGGTGGCACATTGAGGTGTTCATATGTGAACTGAAACTTTCAGTGAATACTTCCATTGCCTAAATGAAAGTATAGATAAGAAAATTTGGAATCAATGAGTAAAGAGGGGGAAGCTGATGAGAACAGCAAACCACTGCTACATTTTGCTGATCTCATTAGCAAATAAAAGGTTCCATTCCGATTTTGATTAACGTTAAGAAGCTTTTAAAAATTATTTTGTATTAGTTTGTTTATAACTTCTTTGGCTTTTTCTGAACCGCCTAACTTTGGCATCCCTTCCAAGTTTCCGAAAAACACCGCAGTCTCACGGGCTCAATGCGCTTTCCTCCCATCTTTTTATGACACCTATTTTAACTATTTTGTTCCCTATACTAGGTTTGTGGAAGTCTTTCACTGACGAAAGTTTGTTAAAATCTTCTGGAAGTAATTTGGATTGTCCCTGAATTATTAGGTTGTTTTCAAAAGTTTTGTCCGTTTTTATGATTCCAGTTTTAATTGAAATATTCCAGTGAATACTTTTTCAATTTAATCTAAATGAGCGCCATTTGAATAAGTGAACTTTTGCCAGCGTAACACAAGTCGATTAATTCACAGAGCATAAAAATTATTTACTCGGGATTCGATGGAGTCGACGAAAGCCGTTTTTGCCTGATCCTGCTTGGCCAAGATTCTACCGGTGAGAAAATTATCGATGCTCAATTCGTTTTATTTTCGAACGATGATTTGTGAAGCGTGCAGATGGGCGTTGTCGTGCTGCTGATGCAATTTTTGGAACATTTCATCGATTTCCTCTTAAAACGACTCTTCTGTGATGGGTTATCCGGTTTTAGAAAGTTATAATGAATCACAACAGCCGCTGACCACCAAACAGCAATCATGGTACTTTCTTTGTTAGGTTTTTGTCTTTGGAAAGTGTATGGGTGGCTCATCGATACCCAACCACTCTCCTGAACGTCTCCTCTTGTCGTAGAGTATCCACTTTTCATCACACGTGATGATCCGATCCAAAAAAAGGATCGTTTTGATTACGCAAAATCAAAGAAGAACTCTACTTGAAATGTGACGAATTCTATCGACCATTCATATCGTAGGATACCCATTTTTCGAGCTTTTTGACTTTCCCAATACGTTTTAAACCGTATGGGAGCTGACGCTCAGTTCTTCCGCTATCCCACACACCATTTGTGACGGGTCAGTAGCCACCAGGGTTTTCAAATCCTCCACTGTAAATCGATCACTTCGGGGCTCATTTTCGAGGCTGAAATCTTCGGAACAAAATTTCACAAACCAACTTCGACATCATCATTGCCGAATGAAATTCTCGCAATCCTAAATAAGAACAGCATTTGGCAAAGCTATTAGTGAATAACTTTTTTAATATTCAACTAGCAATATCTTTGGCATCACACCCTCCAATACTTTTGAAATATCCTATCTAAAAACATGTAGTTACACAGCATTATACAGCAGATACTGTTTCAGTTTTCAACAATTTTTGGGTAAAGCACGTAATCTGGAATAAAGATTATTATTATTATTATTCATCTTTGTTATCTTTGGTAATTTCTTAACCCTTGAAAGGTACTCTGTATAACATGGGACAACGGAACCTGCCCCCATCTCCCGGTCTAACGGATATTTGATTTGCAAAACTCTCTCAACTTTTTTTTCATCACTGGCTTACGTGCATTATCGTATTGATCCATATATTTTTGTATTAACCCAAATCTCAAAATGATATATAGCTATTCAAAATTTTGAATTGAAAAGAATATATTTTTAGAATAGTTGTTTTTGTAAAACGAAGGTTTTCATCTTTCTACGTCTCCATCTTTAATAACAAAACATGCAGAAAAGCAATCGAAGTCAAAATAAACTCTTGTTTTTTATTTCTGATTTCTCATCTCAAATTCATATGACTGCCCTTTTTTATTTTTGGAAAAGTAAATAAATTCAACAGTCGTTGTTAGGTAACTTGTTGTATTGATTCACTTGTTGTGAGCTACAGTTTTCAATTAGAATAATGTTGTGATACTTCCGTCATACACCGATAAGTTCAACAGTTTTTCATATAATTGAAGTTGGAACCTCTAGTTTTCTTTTTCCATGAATAACTAACTTCATTATAAGATTTTCACTGAACAGTATACAAAACCGCAACAAGTGTTTAGCTATACAATAGCTTCTTCAGACGAGTATGAACACGACTAAGAAAGCCCTCAGTCGTGCTCATGCCCTTTTCTTCACGTCAGCTATCAACCGGACAAACCTCGTGGCAATAAAATATCAACCTAATCAGATTCATCTAGGCCTAATGCTACCTTAAGATGTGTTCCAAAAATAACCGCTTTTTGACTACTACCGACCAAAATTTTTGAGCGCACATCAATGTTTACATTTGGAAACGATTCTTGTTTCATTTATAATATAAACTTGTGTACAAATTTGAGTCGAACTCATTATTCGCGCCGAGAAATTTTGGCAAAACAAAAGCGAATCAGTTCAAACACCAGGGTTTCTATGCATCTCTACCATATTTGGTTTCATCAGTTTTCAGGAAACCTAACCGGACTTTCAGTGTTACCACAATAATGATGATTTTAAAATTACCAAACAACATTTCTGTCTACTTTTGGAACGCACCATTAGGACGGAACAAGAGAAATATTCTTCTTCCTCATTTTAACCATTTCACCTCACAAAACAATAACCTCAAAATTTAAAAGGTTAAATAATATCAAAATATTATTCAAAACATTTAATTTTAAGTGGTTTCGGCATAAAAGTTAATTAAGTGGACATATCGACAAGGTGGGTTCTTATGAAGATATTTGCCAATTTTTTCAATAAATTAAATTCATTTTAGGTTACTTATTTACATTATATCCACAAAAAAGTTGCAGTCATGAGTTTCAATTTAGTTTGGAATAACGGTGATAAACACGTCAAAGGAAAGGCATTCGTCAAAAAGAAGAAAGTTTCCAATATAAAAAGTACTTTATCTGAAAAACAATCAACAATATCCATCAAAAAGGCTATCAGTCGTAGTTCAGGAAAGGATGACACTATTCAGAAAATAAATGTTGAATTCGTGAACCAGAACAATAACACTGAACCATCTCATGAAAAATCATTCAATGAGTCTACCAAATTTATTAAAAGAAAGCAGAGAAAAGATAAAATTGCAGCGAAGCAGGCTGCCAAACAAGGGGAAACTCTTTCTCAGGTCGAAGCGCCAAACAAAAATCAGTCTTATTCTTTGTTCTCTGTTGGCCAAAAAGATGTCTATGTGAAAACCAATACAAAGGGCAGGTCTGTGGTAGAAAAAGTGTTCAGCGCTAATAATAAATTCAGTAACTTGGATATTCACAAACATATTGTATCAAATCTGGAAAAGATAGGTTTCAGTTCTATCACAAATGTGCAAGAGAAATCTATACCCATTATTCTCGAAGGTAAAAATGTTCTTGTAAGTATCAACTCTTAACCTTTTCTGTCAATGAAAATATTAGATAAGACAGTGTAGTAATTTTTTTCTTAGATTATGTTTGACAACAGTTTTATTTTTTTTGAAAATTGTCTTAAAATTAGCCACCTGTTTTGTAAAAGACATATTTCATTATTATTCAGTCACTCTTGAAGAAAGATATGTGTCAAAGCTAATTTACGGGTTTTTTGACAATGGTCTGCTGGTTTTTACGCCTGATGTTTCGTCTACTACTGTGGTAGACATTTTCAAATGCAATAAGGTAATGGTCGAAGTGCTCAAGTTATTCTCAACGTAGAAACTACAATTTTTCATGCTGTCTTACACTAAAATTTTTATAATCCTGTCTGTAACATTTTTTAACTGGATTGGGTTGTCTCCGGCCGTGAAAGTTTATACTTTTTGAACAAAGACAGTCAGTCTGAAAGGCTCTCGCTCAACTATAATCTATAATATGCCTTAGTAAAGTATATGTTTTGAATTATGGCCAATCCAAATGCATTCCCAGAAGTTTTTTTCATTTGCCTAATTTCATATAATTTGATGTTGAAATTTATCTGAGTTTTTCCCCCACTTAAAATTATCAAGCATGTGTACCAAACAATGTTATTCTTACCGAAGGTTGGATGTAACTTATTTTGAAATTTGAATTTTATACTTTTTAAGTGAAAAAATTTGGAAGACTATTCAGAATGAGCATTTTTCTCTGACACCGACCAAAAACTCATCTGACAATAATTTTTGATTTTGTTACAAGTTGCTGAACATGATTTCTAGATATTATTGTGGTGGGTTTTGTTAAAGGATCAATAACTCAAAAGAATCATTTCATCTCATTTCTACAGTTATTTTTCTTAGAATGTTTAATTCTGACAATTCTTTGATGAAGAACTAGCTGCATCTTGCAATCAAAGCTTTTGATGAACTATTAAGTAATTATTTCCAAGCTATCTAGAGAAAAAGGAATATGAGGTCATGTAAAAGTTCATCTTGAAACTTGTTTATCTACAATTTCGATATAGATTGTAACATTTTTTTTTTCAGATTCGCTCTCAAACGGGATCAGGCAAAACTTTGGCTTATGCTGTTCCAATCTTAGATGCATTACAAAGTCTAAATCCCAAATTGCAGAGAAATGATGGTGTTCAAGCTATTGTAGTGGTACCAACCAGAGAACTGGCTCTGCAGACTCATGAATTATTTGGTAAAATAAATGTAAGTTTAGTTTCTAATTTAGAATATGCATAAAAAATAGTATATTATTCAGTGAGCCAGAAATGTGGCCGTGAAAATAAGGATTGTTAACACATGCCGAAGAAGATTATTATGAATCATTTGAGCGAGTAAGTTCTGAACATTTTTCTTAACTGGAGGACTATACTTTTTCTATGACTTATATGAAGAATATTTCAAAATAAGATTCATTTGTGAGGGATATCCCGGAAGGTAATATCATTAAATATCAAAACAAGAAGCAGTTATAAATCAGGTCAACTTTGAGCTCAATATTGGCACCATTATTTTTTATTCTATTCACGGGTGATCTTAAGCCTTCGTTTATTCAACGAAAATAAATAATTTAAGTGCAGACATGATTTTTTTTCGTTAATCAGCTGTCGCCCCCATACGAACGACAACTCTCAGAAGTTGAGAAACTTGTGCGAGCTAAGGACTAACGAGGTCTTACCTTTTAACGTGTGATTCCTAACACGGTATAATAGGAAAAGAATAGGAGATAATAACCTTCAACAGAATGCAGGAGATATAGAAAAACAGTCTTTCTCTCCTACATCAAGCAGGATAATTTAAGTACCCTCACCTAGAATTAAACTGGGAAGCACAAACTGAGTATCTTGAGATTTTTGATATACATATTGTCATATGTAAAAAATACATAAATATTTGCATCATAACCGTGAAATTAAAAAAATATGAAGCCCATTATATGAGAAATAACATGATAAAAGAACATAACACTAATAGTCATAATGAACTACATATGGCTTATTCTTGATTGATTCGACAAACAAATGAAATATTTGGAGATTTGGGAATCTACAGTGAGTGAAAGACAGCTCTACCAAATGATTTTAACTTTTTTGATCAATTTTACAAATTATATTTCAGTTGTCAAAAACTGTAGATTACTCAACGTATTTCTCTTTCAGACTTTCCAGTGGATAGTAGTCGGACACCTTTGTGGTGGGGAAAATCGAAATACTGAAAAAACGAGACTCAGAAAAGGTGTGCACATACTCATCGCAACACCCGGTAGATTATTGGACCATTTACTTCATACAATATCTTTCAAAAAAGATAAAGTTAGATGTTTAGTGTTAGACGAAGCTGATCGTCTCTTGGATATGGGCTTCAAAAAGGATATTGTAAGGTAAGTTATATTTAGTTAGGAGATGCTGGATTAAATTAATAACTTTAGTGCATGAAATTTTCATCAACCACTTGCCAATTGACGTTAAATGTATAGATATCACATCAGAATTTAGAACAGCAATCAAAAGTTTACTCTCTGATAGCTATTATAGTTTAAACGAATTTTATGACGCTAACTTCTACTAACACTTATTCTGAAATACATCGTACCCAAGTTAATGTTAGTGTCAATCTGAATTATAAGTTCCATCTAGCATTTGAAATAACTTATTCCATTTTTATGTTTTATGTAATTTTTCTCTTGATTTTCATATTCCTGTGTCTTATTACCACATTTTACACATGTGGACATTTTCCTTATTGCGGTAAACATCTGTTTTCAACATATTTTCATATGTATGTGTGTGTGTATATGTATCTATATCTACATATTTTATAGATTTTACATTATATAGACTTAGTATTTGCATGTATACATTTTTATCTTATTCACACACGCTTTATCAATAAGATTCATTCTTCTTACAATAAAGCTTGTTTATTATTATTAAATCGATTTTTGTTAATCATAATTACTAAGTTATTCATTTCTTAATGAGTAACTTACCAATTTTTGTTACACTGAAATTGGAGCAGGGAGCAAAACGACATAGTCAACCTTTTATTATTTCATCTTATGAAAAAGTTTTCTTAGTTTGATTTTACTATCAGAAGTAACTAAATGTCAAATAGGCATTCATTATAAAAGGAATCTCACTGCAAATGAATTGTTGAAAAATTAAGAAATTTTAAAGGAGGTAACCTAATCGAACAGTAATCCCTTAGTAAATGGACTTTCTGGTCATACTAATGTGTTCGTTCATCTAAGATTGTGGTTCATCAGTTCAAATCAGAACTTTTCATTCCAGTTATATAAGTTATATAACTGTTCAATAAATAAGGTGAAATTTTCACGGTCTACATACATTGGATTAGCTATTTTTTATGTTGGTAAACTTTTCTCGAACATTTGTTCACAGTTTCAGCTGTTTAGCATGTTTAGTTTGTTGGTGAGAGGCATGAAAGTTAAATGTGTTTTACTTGTTCTGCAATTTTTTGCTATCACACCAAATTGTGTGTAAAAATGGAATTAAGTGCTGAAAAACACTTGAAATGTGGACAGTGGCATACGGTGATTGTACTCTGTGTCATAATGCGTATCAATAACCCTTGAAAATATTGAGAAAGTAGAGAAAATTGTTATGGAGAGTCGTCAAATCACTATTGGAGAAGTTGGTGAGGATGTCGGAATATCCGTTGTTTCATGTAATGCAATTTTTCGTAAATTTTGGGCATGAAGCGTGTTGCTACTTGGTACATGGTCGTACAGTCAATAAAGAGTATTTTAACATCTCGAAACGTGTTTTGATCACCAAGTGATAATCTTCAAGAGGAAAATCAAAACTCACGATCTCTCACTGGCTCCTGTGTTCTATAATTTCATTACTCACCGTATATACAACTATTAAGCGTCTTTTAAGATTTGTTATATCAAATCATACAATAACATTGAATGTTCAAAATAAATACTACATATGTCATTTTTTAACCAACTTAGTTATGTACGTCTATGGAACAGCAACTTGAAAACGATTTATTACTCCGCTGCTTATGGAAATATACTATAAATGAAAATTTCTATACCTCGCACAGGTTTTGAGATTAAAAGACAATAATAATAGAAAAATTCGAATTTCTTGGATATATTTTGTCATTCTTTATGCATTTTTTAATGGATACAAAAATATGTTTCAGATATATTTTATTAAATGTCTTGAGTTCTATAGGAAAAACTCAACATTTTTTCACAATTTGCAATAGTTGTTTTCATTCTTTAATTTCTCACCAACTTAAATTATTAAATAATTTTTTCTTCAGAGTATACCACAATCATTTTCAAAACTTTCCAAAAAGTATTATTTTTGATTGATTGATGATTTTTCAAAAAAAATTAACAAGGATCATTTTTTCCAAAGCAATTGGGGTTCCCAATCGCTTTCGCTTATTCGTGGTTATTAATTTTCATGCAATTCCATAAAATCTGATAATTTTACTCATTCATATAACTGACCTTTAAACCTTCAGCAAAATATTCAAATATATTTAAGGACCTACTCAATTTGTTCTCTGATTAACAATAGATAAAAAATGTATTAATGAATGACTAGAATTTGTTTGTACCTACAAGAATCTTTATATAAAAAATAAAGTAGTAGGCATTTACAAAATTATGTCTAATGCATCAATAATATTTATTGTAAACTTTTAGGGCATGATCGTCTGAATTCCTCAATATTATGACTTTTCATAAATATCCTGTTCTGTAACAGGATTACATAAATATTGGTTTCAATCATGTTTTTATTGTTTTGTGAAAATACTTCATCTGAAACAATTTCACTTTTCGTTCAGCACATTTAGCCGGAATCCTTGCAATATGTTCAAGTTTGCGTGATCTGTTAATACAATTTCTGCAATATACCAATTTGCTGAAGCTGGGTATGATAAAATTATTATAGTATATACGAAGTCAATTCAAATGGCATAAAAACTATAGTCTATTTCAAAAGAGTGTAGAGTAATAAATCATGAAGTGTCATAAAATTTGCCTGAATTTCGTTGTCGTCCATGGGCGTAGGCAAATCTTAGGATTATTAAACTTAATAATTAAAGTAAATTAAAAATTACAGACATAGATAATAATAAAAGGCCATTTTTGGGAAGTAATTTGGTCTAAAACTAAGTACCTACATGTATTTAGGTAAGTAAAATTTCTTAAAAAAAGATTAAGATTAATTTTAGTGGTTCTTGTAAACTTATTTAATATGCAATTTGGGTTCATATACTTGAGCATGATTTCTCAAAAAAGGGTTAACACTTAGTTCCGAGGTGCCATGTCATTATAATAATCCCTTTTTGACCCTGCCCACCAATCATGCAATACCTATTAAAC